ATAAGGTTGAGCGTGTGATTGTAGCGGGTTTGAGGTGATATCCCGATGGTTGCATTGTTGGGATCTCCTCTTTATGATCTCTGACCCGGGTCGGGTTTCATATTGAGGAGACATGATTGTGATTGGTTGCCCACGGGCAGAGCTTGGAGCCGATGATACACGTGATAGTCTTGAGTGATTCGGCTATCACGGGGTTGAGGAAATCCTACGGTTACACAGTAACCGCGCCAATGTTCCACTAGCTATGGAACGGGATCGGGATTGAGTGATTCTCCCGGCAGAGACTGGCAATACATTTACCCGTGACTCGGGATTGAGCGATTCTCCCGACGAGGTTATGCGAAGGAACTCAGAAAGACCTGAGCTCGGGTCCAATGAGTTTCTCCGTGGCGGACGGCCGGCGAGAGGTTGTCAGTTGTGTACTGACTTCGCTCGACATAGTCGGTGGTGGCCTGGAGGAGGCACCTGGCGCTCTGGCATCGAGAGGTGACATCGATGTCAGAGGGGATGGTTGATGTATTATGTTTTATGGAGTAGGGATTTGGATGGCGTGTTTTATTGTTCCGGCGATTGCCGAGGAGAGCGGGGGATGTGCGTTGCACATGGAGCGTCCTTACCCACGTGTGTGATGCACACGTGGAGATGATTTGACGGTACGGTTATTACTGAGAGACCCGATGGGTCGAGCTATGACTTGTGTACATATGTCCTGGACTGGTGAGACCAGATCCTTGCGGTATCCTATGTGTGCGATGCACATAGAGATGATTTGACGGTTATGTCCGATGATACATCATGCGGACTGAGTGTGTGTGATAAGTGAATTACTTGTGCGATTGAGTGAATTGTGTTTCCTGGCATGAAGTGTGTATATATGTATACACTTATATCTAGTGTATGTATAATATTGATTGTGTTTGGCCATTTGCCATTTGAGTATGATCTTCGGGTTTAACCCGAAGTACTCACTAAGCATGTAGCTTAGGACGTTGTTATGCAACGTTTCAGCTCGAGATAGCGCAAAGAGAAGTGTTGGATGGACACAGCGGCGCCAAGAGTGTGAGGAGGAAGACCGAGAAGATTTAGGTTAGAGTTACGCAGATTCCTGTTCCAAAAAGATTGGTAGTGTCGATTTATGAGTTTTGTATTTTCCGATAGTTACACTACCGTATTTGCATTTGTCTCCGCTGCATATGTATATAAATTGAGAATTTTTAAATCCCGCGTATTTTCGATAATTGTATTTATTTTATTGTTGTCCATGTGGCGCAACTCGTGGTTTTCGCGGGACACGGGTTTCGGGTGTCACACTGGCTCCATCAAGTATTTAGTGACATTTAAAGAAGGGGTGTCAATCGGGCCGGTCTGGCCCGACCCAATACAAAGGTTTTGGGCTCGGACTCGGACTGGCCCATTTTTTTCGGGCCTATGTAGTTAAGCCCGAAGTTCGACCCTATATATACTAGGCTCATCTCGGGTGCATAAATCCCTTTGTAAATCTTTTTTTTTAAAAAAAAAATATTAGACTTCCGGGTCTGTCCGACTCGAGTTCGAAGTCCGATTCGAGCTCGGTCCAAAAGCCCAATTTTTTTGGGTCGAGAAAATTAGACTCGAAGTCCGCTAATTTTCGGGTTGGGTCAGACCTCGGTCCTCGGACCCAAATTGACATCCTTAATTTAAATTTAAAGTGATGAAACATCAATGGTAAATCTCCAAAATAAGGGTAAACATTTTTCTCTAACAAACATTAAGATGAGTTCCATAATTTGGAGGAAATAATCTGATCTTGAGCAATTAATGCCATCTGACGTTTGAGTATTTGAAGGAGATTTTGATGATATTACGGCAGTTTTGAATATCTAAAATAAGATTTCTTTTTTTCTACTATTTTTTCTAGTTATGTATATCTGCACATAAAATGCAAGTGAAATTGAGGGAAACAAAGTATTCCTCTTCACCAAACGAAACCTTTCTTGTTCTTTTATTCATCAATCCTCTTCTCTTGGTCCATTTTTCTACATACAATTGATTCTTCTATCACATAAAATCTTCGTATAGTATTTATTATAATTTAAAAATTGTTATTTTGATTTCCATGTTTGCTCATTGCTCGAATAGGGTACTGTGCATTTGTTTTTATTTGTATGTATCCCCATATAAAGATGCAGATTTCATTAAGAAACATAAAAAAAAAAACCCTAACTTATGTGGGCTATTACTAAGAGAACATACAAAACATCCTCTTATCTCGGATTCAAATTCAAGCGTGGGAAAGATCATTCACACGGGCTTCACCAATACATTGGAAGATATAGTCGGGTTAAGGTTCTTTAAACTTCCATATTGTAAAAAAAAAAAACAAAAACAATAACCCAAAAACTCCTCTCGAAAGCATCCATGTGGAGGACAAAACAAAAGATTCAAAAAAAAACCCTAATTGTGATAGAGACTTCCAAACAGCTTGGAGAGGGGGTTTTAACCCTAATAACCCACTTGGGTCGCAGCAATTTCAGGGTACACCACCGAAAAAAAAAAAAAAATTTGCGACCTTATTACGACTAATATATAACTAATATACAACCTATTACGACTAATAAACTACTCTTATTTTAGTTGTATATTAGTTATATATTAGTCGTAATAAGGTCGCAAATTTTTTTTTTTTTTTCGGTGGTGTACACTGAAATTGCTGCGACCCAAGGGGGTTATTTGAGTAATATTCCCCTTGGAGAGAGTACAGAATCATCCCAAAAGGAGAAGCTATGATCGTATATGATAAGAGTGACAATTAGGACTCTCTTAGAGGGTTTTGTGCAATGCGATCCAATCGCATTCTATCGGAAGGGTCGATATCCGATGCCATTCCCGTATCGTCGAAACAATATATAGGAGCTTGCCATTTCTCGTCCTCTAGAGCCGCTCCGACTTCGTACGTCATCACATGAGCCTCCATGCCTACGAATTATACCCATAATAACCAAAAGGTATGCATATCAAGTGACCAAGTGATGACTTCAACAGAATCATAAGAGATTGAAGAGAGGTAAATTCATCACGTGAAGATTGGCATTTCCCGATTATTTTTCTGGCTCGTTTCTCTCGTTTTTTTAAAATTCGCATTCCTTATATTAAATTTGGTTTGATTCGTTTACGATTCAAATTTATTTTTTTAATAAAATATTCAATTTTCAATAAAAATTCTAGAAAAATACTCAAATGTGCCGTAAATATCAAATCGATGACGTCTTAATCGATAATAACGTCAATTTGTACCAAATAGATTCCAAATTCGTATTTATTTGGTATAAATTATCAAATTCGGGCATTTATTTGTCGATTTATAAATTAAGATATTTATATGACACATTTACACATTGATACATTTTTTTGGAATTTTTTCTTTAATTATTATTTTTGTATTTGATTCGATTCAATTTTCTAAATTATATACATTTACACAATTTCTAAATTTTTTAATTATTGGGTTTTACATAACTGAACCTAAATACTCTCTAACTATATTTGGTAAGTTTCAAAAAAATATGTAAAAACATTATAAAAAAAAAAGAGGTAAAACCCCTAAAAACCCTTCAACTTGCAAAAATATATACAAATAAACTTTCAACTTGAAAAACTACCGTTCAATCCCCGAACTTGTAACTTGTCACTGAATAAAACCTCGAACTTGCAAATTATTGTCCTAATAAACCTTTGACCGGTTTGACCACAATTTCAAACGATCGGAAATCCACGTATTGACGGATTGCTGATGTCAATTTTTAAATTAAAATTGATAATGTGTATAAGGTGACATCAACAATCTGTTAATACGTGGATTTCCGATCGTATGAAATTGTGGTCAAACCGGTCAAAGGTTTATTAGAGCAATAATTTATAAGTTCGAGGTTTCATTTAGTGACAAGTTACAAGTTCGGGGATTGAATGACAGTATTTCAAGTTGAAGATTTATTTGTATATATTTTTGCAAGTTGAAGGTTTTTTAGAAGTTTTACAAAAAAAAAAAAGATTACCAGTATAGAAGACCCAACTCACGGGCAGTTTGGATTCGACATCTTCGTAGTACCAAATGAAATCAACCTTGGTCCAAGCGTTGCACAGGAACCCATCCACGTGTCGAACGCCCACATACTCCGCATCTTCCAGCCAGTTCGGCCTCAGGATACCAACCTCGAACGTGATCTCTCGGCACTTCCCGGATTCGCCCAGCGTGTAATAAAACGAAGTGCCGTTGTTCCACTCCAGGTCATACGTAAGCTCGCCGAGCTGCTTCTGGATGATGTTGAAATTCCGACCGTTGACCCAATCGTACCAGAGATCTGTCTTCTGGAGAGATCCGCTGTTGTTGATGAACAAGACAGCGTGGAATTGGAGAGGCCATTGCTGTGGTTTTGGTGTTTGGTGTATGCAGTTGCCGAGTTTCAGAGACCAGATGAAGAAGATGAAGAGGAGATAAGGTGATGAGGATTTGGTTGGAGAGGAAGCCATCTTGAATAGCGGATAACCTTGGTTTTTCATTTTCCTTTATCTCAAAAGTTTGTTGTTTATTTTTTTGGAAAATCCCCAAAACACAATTTTTTCGAAAAAAATCTAAGCTCTATTTTTTTAAATAAAATCGGAATTCATTATTTGTGCTAGAAAAAAAAATGATAAATTTTATAAAATTTATCATTTTTAAACCCAATTGTCGGGATGGTGACGTATATGACTCGATGAAATCACAAATTGACATGTATAATATCAAGATGCCACATCATCGATTGGATTTAAAAAAATAATATTTATAAAATTTAGAATTTATTTGATAAAAAAATAGAGTTCATGTTTTTCTGAAAAAATTGAAAAGTTTTGGTATTTTTTTTAGAAATTTTCCCTTTTTTATGTCTGCTTTTGATTTTTCTCAATGTAGTAGTTGGGTTGGTGGCAAAAAATTGAAGTGAACTTATAAGAAATTGTAAATAATAAATATATTTGGGTTTATTTTATTAATTTTTTTTCAAATTAAAATTATCGAATAATGATGATTAACTGAAAATAGAGAAAAATCATAAATAAATTGTTTTAAAAGTAAAACTAAAATCTTACCAATTCGGAATAAATTATTAAAATAACAAATTGAAAAATAGAAAAGGAGAGGAAAAATCTCAAAACAATTATATCCAACTACGACTTAACTACAAGAATCATATTGAACCTTTTCAATTTCCAAATTCACAACCAACTATTAATTTTTTAATAAAGGGTTAATTCCAAAAAAATATCTAAAATTGAAAAAATTTTGCTATGATAATACCCAAATTTAACATTTAGCTAATTAATACCACAATTTGCAAAGGTTTTTCGAAATTGATATCCAACATATGAGGGATTAATTTTTCGTCTCGTGCCACATGATTAATTTTCGGGCCTATATTACCAAATTCGAAGCCCGTCCCTATAGATCTCATACTCGGATCGTGTCGGATTGGCCCGTATAATTTTGCTTTAAAAAAATCTTATGAAAAAAATACATTTACAAAGCAAAATTATGCGGGTCGGCCCGATCCGAGTCCGAGGCCTGTAGGAACAAACTTTGAGCTTCGTATTATAGGCCCGAAAAAATCGGATCAGTCCGAGTCCGAGTCCAAAACCTTCGAACCGAATGCGGCTCGAGTCGGATCGGACATGGGAGACGTTTAAAAATACGGGTATCAATTTGAAAAAATATTTACAAATTTAGTACGTTACAAATTGGGTATTTTTATGTTAAATTTATAATTTAGGTATATAGAAAGAAAAAAAAATCAAAAATTGGGATATTTTTCTGGAATTAACATAATCTAACGTGGCATCAACGCGGCATCTATATATCTGATAACGTGGCACACGAGACGAAAAATTAACCTCGTCTTCCGTTGGGTATCAATTTGGAAAACATTTGCAAATATGGATTTTAATTAGCTAAATTTTAAATTTGGATATTATTATGGAAAAATATTTCAATTTGGAGTATGTTATTGGAATTAACCTTAAAATAAATAAAAAAACTTTTGAATTTTTTTCCAATCTTCCCACGTCGTATGCAACCTCATCAACGATAAATAAAAAATAAATACATAAAATAAAAAAAAACTAAATAAAAATAATTGAAAGCTTTTTTTTTTTGTCAGACGGAAAGATTAACTAAACACAGCTTCTCGATATTATCACCCTTTGCATGTCAGGCTTAAGCTGATGGGACAAAGAGAGGGGAGGAGACTCGAAAAACGTTGTTCCTTCCCAGCGCCAACATGAATTAGCTTCACGGTATATGTGTTTTACGGATATCTCCCACGGCTTTATTCTTCGAATTATTGCTCCGTCCACTGTATGTATAGTCGTTTCGTTCTTGAATAAAAATAATTAAAAGTTTTGATCAAACTACAAAGTAAAGAGGGCTGGCGGAGTTGAAACTCTTGCAATGGACAGCAACTTGGTCGGGAAAAAAACATTGATCGTCCTTACAGTATAAAGCTTTCCGGGATAACGAGAGAAAACGAAAACCCCGAGGAGGGCTTTTGACATCCAAGCAGTCGGAACTTGAGTTTGGTCTCGGCAGGGCGAAATCACGAGGAGGGCTTTTGACAGAGGAAGAAGAGTTGCCAACTGATGAAAGCCATGACCAGGGAAGTGGTCAGCTCGAACCCCACGACTCTCGGGAAATGCCATCCCAAGCCTCGCCTTAGGTAGCTCGTAATAGAAGGCATAGTGGCAACAATCACCGCGCACAAGTATATGACGGGAATCAGAGCCTTCGGCTTGTTCTTCCGAAGCCACATCAATGAACCCAGAGCAGATAGAGATATGCTAAACACCTGGTTTCAGAAAGATGGACATAGATTCGGATTCATGTTTTGCATTGGTGGCGAAGGAAACAGCAGCCAACCGTCATTATATATCACATAAATACATGTTTTGAGAAGTCGAGTGGCGTACCAGATTAGCATTCGCTTCGAATCCTTGAAAAATGTAATCCCACGTAAACTCCAGCCCTCGGGCACCAACCCAGAGGGGTGCCAACCTATGTAAAACAGAATCGGCGAAAGCCCATCCTGAACATAGACGAAGTCATTCACACCTCTCAAACCACGGTTGATAATTCTAAATGCAGAGCAGATTATTGCAAGATGCACGATATCGCCACAAAATTAAGAGGAATGGCTCATGTATAGGCGATTGCCTCAACAGAATTAACTGTCACGCAAAGCTTTATCTTAATGTTATCCAATGCCGCAAGTCATAATATGTCACAACAAAGTTTTAACATGAAGGTAGCTCTCTGGCAACATGAATACCATAACGATATTTCTTTTTCAAAGCAGTCAAAGGTTCACTTACCGAGCCCGACAGCCTGAAATTTGTGGTTTTGGGATATGTTCCTGTGAGTCAGCTGAGTCAAGGCAAAATATAGACCGGCAACGTCTATGAAGCCGATCAGTGCTTTCAGTAGTTCCTGAGATAAGGAAGGTTTACATCATTGTCAGTGATTAGGTTGCACCCCCAATATAGAAAGGTTATTGCATGATGTCCCATCAGGAAGTGAAAGCAGACAATGTATAATCTCAAAACACAAACACACGCACGCACACGAGACACGGAACAGAAACGTGCATGCATATACACACATGCACGAGTGAGTACTTAAACAGAGACAGACAAACAGAGAGATGGGCATAGAGACAGAGACATAAACAGCTCATAATGAGAAGCAAGTGCGACAAAGGACCAAGAAATCAGTTACAGGGTGGGATTTCAGTAATAGATGAAGTCCAAATTTTGTACAGTTCATTTGCCTCGGAGAACCAGGAGAAAGGGCATATCATATATCACCTTACGAACAGAAAAATAATTTCCAAACCCGCACTCAATCGCTTGAGAATCAGATTAATGGAAATACCTGGTATGGATCGAATGTCTCGCTCTCTGATACTTTAAGAAAGGTTGCCAAACAAACAAGCTGCAGAGATAAAATAAGATCGAGCAGAATAAATATAACCTTAGCTGAAGAAAGTAGTAACATATGGCAACAAGAATCACATAATGAAGAATGCACCCAAGAAAGAAAGATTCAACGCAACGCAAAATCAGCTTTTCTGCACGAACCTTTACTAGCGCTGTTGCGAGATAGACAACTGCAGCCTTCACCGAGGTGCCAAGGGTGTCGTATTCAGATCTGCGCATAATCACTGACTACCATCAGTATCCCTAGACAAAAAATCTACATTCTCGGAAATTCTACGGCCAACCACAAGAAAGAAAAAACAAGGAACAGAGTCATACACACGCCACCATGACACATTGATCAACACCACAAGGGTAAACTGCCATAATTGAACCTATATAATCCTATCATATATATGACTAAATTATGCAGGTTCCCAGCTAAAACAATTGGTGGGGGATGAGATCAGCTTATGGAATCATAAGCTATATAGCCAGCTTATGGATCATGTAATGAATATAACCTACTGAGTTTGAATCGATTTGGCCAAACCAAACCAGATTAAGTAACTCGAACTTGTAACTGTTGGGATTCAAGTAACATCAGGACAAAACAGGGAACCGCAGCAAATTGATAAGAACTACAACTCCATGAATCCTTGACTCCGTATCAACAGAACTCAGGAACAAAGTAGCAAATTACTAAGAATTATCAACCTGTTGCAGAAACTAACACAAATTTCCCAAGTTCGTCCAAATATATATTTGTCGGATCAGATAGCAGCCGTCCTTCTACGACGGAGAAGATCGAGACACGATTCAGATTTCAGACCAGACAAGAAACAACAGATTACAGTCTCGAGTATGAAAATTCACGGGATTCGGAACCATAGATCGATATGGTAGAACATAAAGCCCAAAAAAAGGGGGAAAAAGGAAAGAGAGGAATCCCGTACAACGGCGTGGCTGAGTAGTAGATAGCGTGAGGACCGAAGGTGAGAATCGCACAGTTGAAGAAGTGAAACATCGTCATTTCCACCGGCGTCGTTGTCTCTCCGGTGACGCTGAAGCTACAGATCCGACGACGACACGAGGTTGAAGAAGAAGATTTTTTTTTCCTCGTTAAATATGAAAACTCGCAGTAGTTAAAAAAAAAAAAAAAAAAAAATCGGAGAATCACAGATCTGGGGGAATTTGGTTTATTTATTCCGGTTCGGGTTTGGTGTGAATTTGGTTTATTGATTCCGGTTCGGGTTTGGTGTGAATTTGGTTTATTGATTCCGGTTCGGGTTTGGTATTTAATGGGCCGTAAAGGCCTATTTCGGTCCATTAATATTTAAAGTGGGCCTATAAATATTGAAATAAGCCTATACACTGAAATTTAATGGTCTGATTATATAACAATATATTTGATGCTATTTTTATGTTTTTGGTATCGGCCACTAATTTTTTAAATACATCAAAGGAGATTTAGGATATCTTTCGTTTAAAATGTGAACATTTGATACAATTTTTCAAATGAAAATATATATTTTTTTTAATATTTGATACAATTTTTCAAAAAATTATATATCGAATAAAAATATTTTAGCTAAAATGTGAATATTTCATTCTGATTTGTTATGTTGAAAACAGAATTGGAATCGTGTTAATTGATTAATAGATTGATCCGAATTCAAAATAGAAAATTTTATTGGTAGTCTGAAAATTTTACAAATATGGATTAACATTTTTTTAAAATAAAAAAATGTAAAATGGTTCCAAATCTTAATCCAAAACCTCAATTTTCGATCTTTTGTGTGTTTATTTTGCTGTCTGATGGTCCACCAAAAATTATCCGACAAATTTCAAGTATTTAAGTGAGGGCACCTATAATCGGAAAAACACAATAAATAAATAAATAAATAGAATATAAAATAATAAATAAAATTAAATTGAAGGGAGTCCGGTCATGTTCGAAAGTCTTGGAATATCATTATGATCTCCACACACAACATCGTGTTCGGACAGATACAAGATGCATACGTCATAATTCCAATAATAATAATAATCATGAATATTATTAAATGTAGTTTTTTTTAATTGGATAATGAAAATACGGAATGGATTTTTAAAATGCTTGGGGATAATGACATTTTACTCTGACTCCGAGCATTGAATGAGGATTTTTTTTAAAAAAAAAATTTACGAGAAAATGAATAAATAGAATAAAATATATTCGCTGACAAGAAAATGACCCGAAAAGGCAGTTTTAGAATGAAAGAGTCAAAAACAAGGAATATTATGATGAGAGCATTTTGGTTTAGTGATACCATTTTCATGAAATCTGTAACTTACTCAGTGTGGTCCACTCTTTTTAATGTCAAATCATACTATATATATATATATATATTTATATTTTAATTCCCAACAAAAAAAGTTAGTCCCAGAGCCATTTATGATCAATAAATAAGATTGATGGTGGTGATGATGATGATTACATGCTTATGGTCTATGCATGGTAAGGCTTTAATAATTAAACTTAACAATATCCTCACCTAAATTTTGATATTTCTAACTGGTGAAATGAATGCGCAAAGAGTTTATTGCGCTCCGATTTTGAAAGAAAACGTATATTCTAAATCATATGGTTGATCGAGATATATATCTCATTAAAAATAAATATATCATAATATACAATTTGATATCAAATGGTTTATAAATGTATGCAAGTTATTATATTTGGAACACTCATGCAAGGCAATATTTTTACTTGTGAGTTTTGGTTTCTATTTGATTATAAAATTATCAATATTGGCAAAACAAAATTCCAAGGCTCTATCATTATATTCGTACAATAATTTATATCTTCACTTACTTTATTTATGTATTGATATATATATATATAGAGAGAGAGAGTATATATGGATCTTTTTATACTTTCAGATTTGGTTATTTTTTCACATTCAACGGGCATTGATCATATAATATTAAAATATAGAAAAAAATATCCTAGAAAACTTCAAATTTTAAAAATATCTTTTTAAAAGTTCATCTATCCACCAATCTAAATAAAACTCTATCTTTACAACAAAAGAAAAAAAAACTCCGTTCAATAATTCGCCCATTTTAAAACTAATTTAAAAATTATATATTATTATTTTAAATAACATTATAAATATATTTTAAATTTAAATATAAATATTTGGATGTTTCTGTATTGAAGATTTTATTTTGAATTTATAAATGATTAATATTTGGAATGATATTTTTAAAAGTTATTGGTTTTTTTAGATATTTTTAAAAAATAAAGATTTATTTAGATTTATAAACAACTGAAGTTTTAAATAAATGTTAGTTAAGACATTATTTGGATATTTTTTTCTAAAATATATATTTTTTTTGGTTAAAATATCTGTTTTACGACAAACTATCAAATATTCTTTAGAATACAAGGGGAGACAAAAGAGTTGCCCGCTAGTTTATGTGTATATATATATATATATAAAAATAAAAGTTACCCAGTGATTTTTTTTGGTCCAACTACATCTCTCAGATGATCGGGGTAATCCATGTAAAAACTACTTCTCAACCAGAAATCGAACCACCAACCTCTGAATACTTTGCATCCATCTGATGACCACTTACCCACAAAGGGTGGAACAAACAATTTGGTGACAATGAGCTGTGTATAATCTCTCGACTCCATTCACTTTTATTTATATTTCTAAAGCCAAAAATAAAAAAGATCTTTGACATTTTTGCCCAGCTGTTTCCTCGCTCTTTTCCAAAGCTGTCCGTATTTTAATATAATTAATCAAGGATTACACCGTATAAATCAATACACACACATGTATACATACACTATGTAGGATTCATATTTGACATCTGCATGCATGTACTCCGATGTACCCTGACTCTATGTCTCGGTCACACTATGTAACCATCTTGTTTGACTCATCAATACAAATCTTATATATATATATATATATATATATATATATATATAATGCATGATCGTGCGTGCATATGTGTGTGTATACACAATTAAATGTATTTCACGGGTATAAAACAACAGACATGTGACTGCGTGTATTTTATAGCATGTATGTATTGGATATAATATTGATTAAAATGATTATATTTTATGGTGTATTTGGTTCCACGATTAATATATAATTTTTTTTATTTATATCAACTCGTATTTATTTTTTGGGTCTGCAGACCCACGAAACGATAACTACGTATGAGAGAAACGAGGTACAAATTGCTAAACGGACCAATAATTACTTAACCAAAAAGAAAAAATCAAATGGTGCAAGTACAACATGTATATATATGCATGGTCCATGATTCTTGATTTAATGTTTTTATACTTTTCAAATAAATATATCAGAATATATATATATATATATATATATATATATATATATATATATATATACATATACGAGTTTTTCATATGTATATCATTACAACAGATTATCAGATATAAATTATATATTTTATTTAGTTTCTCTAGAATTTTCCGTCAAATTAATGAGATATTAGTTATTGGCATTATTTTGATTGTGATGTATTTGAATTGGATACACATTTGAATAAATTCAAAACACCAGCTCATAAGAACTAAGAAGTAAAATCAAATAAATTTCCAAAATATACCCTAGATTTTTAATATTTTTACTTATGATGCAAGCGCTAGGGGTGGGCACGGATCGGATATCCGGGATTTTTGAGATATCCGTATCCGTATCCGATCCGCACAAATATTCGATTTTGTTATCCGTATCCGATCCGTAATTTTCGGATATCCGCAACTTCGGATATTCGTTAAAATCACGGATATTTGCAGATATCCGTATCCGACCTAAAATATAATAAAAATTTAAATTTAAATTAAATAACAGTTAATATTCAAAAATTAAAATTATAAACCTCAATATATATAAAATTTTTCTTGAATCACCCTAAAAAATCATGTAAATATTAAGAATTTTAAATCTCCATACCAAATTATTCTTATATTTAATGGATAATTCCATTTAAAACCCTGTACTTTTCTCTCGTCGCAATTTAAACCCTATACTTTTTTTTGATCCAAAAAACAATTGTACTTTTAAAAATTGGAAATTAAAACTCTATACTTTTAAAAATTGGCAAATAAAACCCTGAACGAAAAAAAAATATATTATTTAATGCTGACATGGCATCCTAGTCATCTGCCACATCATCAATCCCTAATATTTAATAATATTAATTAATACAAAATAAAAATAAAATAATAATAATAATAATAAAAATAAAATTTTAAAAATTATACACATACATATATAATGAAATGATATACATATATACACATATATAAACATATTTATATATATACACACATATATATAATTATATATATGTATATATAAATATGTTTTATATGTATGTGTGATATATACATGCTTTTCTAAAAATCATATATATATGTGACATATGCATGATTTTTAGAAAAAAAAATACATATACCACATATGTATATAAAACATATATATATATATATATATTATATATGTGTGTATATATATAAATATGTTTATATATGTGTATATATGTATATCATTATAATTTTTATGAATATATATAATTTTTAAAATTTTATTTTTATTTTTATTATTTTATTTTTATTTTTTATTAATTAATATTATTAAATATTAGGGATTGATGATGTGGCAGATGACTAGGATGCCATGTCAACATTAAATAATATTGTTTTTCGTTCAGGGTTTTATTTGCCAATTTTTAAAAGTATAGAGTTTTAATTGCCAATTTTTAAAAGTACAATGTTTTTTTGGATCAAAAAAAGTATAGGGTTTAAATTGAGACGAGAGAAAAGTACAGAGTTTTAAATGGAATTATCCCTATATTTAATAATATTATTACAAAATACGGATCGAATCGGATATGTCGAATAATTCAAATTTAATATCCGTATCCGATCCGTATCGGACAAATATCTCCAAATAAATATCCGTATCTGATCCGTAAACTCCGGATATCCGAATTTTCGGTTCGGATACGAATCGAATAACGAATCGGTTCGGATTTTTCGGATATTTTGCCCACCCCTAGCAAGCGCACCGAGTTCTATATTTATAACCCGAT